AGCTTCTTGCTACTAGTAGTAATGGCCTCCAACCTACTAGCGATGGCCTCCAACCTAATAGCACAAGGAACCTACTGGGTGCAAGAAGCGCAACAAACTCCTGTCCCTACTTCTATTATTGGGTACGCTTCAAAGAACTCGATTCCAACTTCACATCCTCGCATGGCTTGGCCAAGAGGAACTTCACGTCTCTCCAGCGTCTTCTCTACCTGGAGCAATGTGTGGCGCTTCGGACTCCCGACAAACACAACTGCTCAAGGCAACTGTTTCTACTAGTAAGGCACCTGTTACTACTAGCGTGGCACTTGTTCCTAGTAGCTTCTTGTTACTAGTAGTAAGGCACCTGTTACTAGAAGCGATGCACTTGTTCCTAGCTTGTTCAAGGCAACTGGGGTTCCAGCACTGATGGGCATGCCATCCTGTCAAACAACGACAGCCAGCTCCAGTGCCAAGTACTCAAGCAGTATAAAACTGACACCACCCTTTGCGTGTGTGCCATGGAATTTGACGATGAGATGAAAACAACGACTACACGTTGCGGGCAAATAAATGTAACAAGGATGCTATTTGGTGGGGACTATCGCAAGTAGGTTGGAGGCCATCGCTACTAGGAGCAAATATATCAGTAGTAGCTTCTTGCTGCTAGTAGCGATGGCCAAACCCTCACCACAAATGGTTGCCTTGGGCTACGTCAGTTGCAAGGGCAATGCCTAGATCCACTGAGCTCATGCAGGGCTCTCTCCGTGTGCCTCATTTCTTTACCCTGAATCTGCTCGGAGTGCTGCGGAGTGGCATTAGCCCATTTGGGCGCAAGGACGCTACTAGTAGCTCCTGGCATCGCTACTAGGAACCCAGGCATCGCTACTAGGAGCAAGGATGCTACTAGTTTTAAATTACATTAGCCCATTCGCCCATTAAGCTCAATTAACAAGAAAGAACGTGACTAGAGGGAAGGCAGCGGTGAGTTGAACCTCCAGGCCCCGCTGCTTCACAGAAGAGGACAGCCAGTAAGCGTTTTAGTAAACATATTTGTGAATGCTAGGCCTGCTAGGCTACATCCACTCGTGAAGCCACGAACGTTCTATGGCTCTACCCCACCCGGTGCACAGTTGACAAAGCAAATCGAGCCGTTCCTCGTCAAGGTGAGTCACTTCAGAGGTGAAATTTACCACCTGCATTGTGACATGTAAGTTGGAAAAGTGCCAACTGAAAAGACATGAAAACAATGAAAACAACAAGTTGCCCAAAAAAGAGGACACTATTTGTCAGATTCTCTTGTCTTTCTTTCTTGATAAGTTCTTCTTTAGACCTTTAGAGCTTTAGACCTGTCTTTTGTCCTTGTCACTTCTTCCAGTTCATGTCGAATGACAACATGAAGCGGGCTGCGACCCACAAAGCAACCCCTCGCACCAAAGCATCACCGCTGGGACTAGCTTCGATCTTGCCGGGCCTGGAAAAAAGATCAAGCGAAAGGAAATCACTTGTTGTTTCTACGCTCGCTTCTTGTTCCTACTAGTAAGGCACTTGTTACTACTAGCGTGGCACTTGTTACTACTAGCGAAAGGAAAGTATATCTTTCTTTTTCCTGCTCCTACTTAATCAAGTAAGAAGGCAAGCTACTAGAAGTTCGCTCCTAGCTAGGATTCAGGATAGCTCACGTTTCTTCAAGGAAGCTCCCCCTGCCTGAGGGCGTGGGGAGCTTCTTTGAAGAAGCCCTCACACTAATCGTTTGGTTCTTAGATTCCTAGATATTTAGGCATTTATGGAAACTTAACTAGTAACAAGAAGCTACTAGGCCTCACTACTAGGAGCAAGGACGCTACTAGGGCTCCTGGCCATAC